GCGGCCCCCGCCTGCGGGCCGGGGTGCGCGGGGGACCGCAGGGGGCCGGGGTTAGGCCCCGGCGCTCATTTAACGCCGGTTCCGAGGGGTCGGAGGAGCCGATCGGGTGTCAGAGCCGGTTTTCTGGTGCTGTAGGGAGGGGGCACGTCGATCTACGTGGTTTTACCGACTCCTGGTAAAAACGCCTCAGCTCCCGGCCCTTCCCTGGCCCCCGGCTCTGGCAGCCCTTGCCGTCCCTCGGACGGGCCCTGAAACACTCGAGCCGTCCCTGCAGCGCTGCCCGGACATCTGGTGCCGGGGGTGCCGGGGCCACCGAGCCTTCCCTTGCTCTGACGCCCTCGTATACGGCCCGAAAGGTGAGCGGGTGCCTCGCCGAGTCCATCGCGGGCAGGGTGCTTATAGGAGTTGTGCCTTAATGCTTTTCTGAAGAACACAGCTGCCAAATAAATAGCTAGATGACTTTTAAGTTGTGTATGCGGGAGGTCTCAATACAAGAAGTTCTGGTACCTTAGGTTTTTCTGGTATCAGTAATGTACGGTGCTAAAGGGAGGACGGGACCAGGGCACGTCTGTGCATATTTATGCATGAGAGACACTAGGCAATTTGAGTTGTGGTTCAGATTGCCAATGCAATTACTTTCTGGTAAGGGTAACTGTTGCAAGAGCTTACAGACAGTTCTTGGTAGTTTTGCTAGTTACATATACATGAATGTAGTTACCAGAATTGTGAATTTCCATTGTTTGCTGGTGCCCGCTGTTACCTGTGTCTTTGTTTCCTATCTGACACATCTCTCGTTTACTAACTGGCCACTGGCAGAGGGACAGAGACCTTCTAGCAGGGCAGGACCAAGCGTGACAGATGCGAGGTACATCTGTGCACCTACAGCAGCAGCAACAGCATCTTAAAATGTTAAGGCCTGGGAAGTGAGCAGAAGTCCAGCCAAGGAAACAGGAGAGATGTTTTTTCTCTCCAAAGCATACAGAAACCATTGGATAATAATTTAGAAAACACAAGTGCAAGGGAGAAGTAAGTAGATGTTGTGGTCTTACTTTTCTGCTTGGACTTAGGAACTTTGAGTGAAGTCCTTTCCACTGATGAGCTTATTAACTTTAAATTAAATGGAGCTGCAATTTCAAAACTGTTCTGGAACACAAACCGAGAGTGACCAGTTTGTGCTATTCTCATGCAAACAACAATCCCAAGGGGATGGTTTTCTTCATTACTTGAACACATTACGACTGTACAATAAAAACTGAAATAAGTAACATTCGAAACAGAAACCTAAGATGGATCATTCGGGTTTGGGTTTTTTTTCTATTCCTGCAGTAATTCTAAGGCATACATTCTTAGATGTCATGTTCATTTTTTAAATTTCTGCTTACTTATATTATTCACAGTGCTACTGAATTTTACAGTTGTCCTGCATAACTGGGTTTTGTAGACATGGTCTCCTACCTCCACTTTTAAAATAACTAATTGTTTTAGAATATACTTTATATACATTTTCAGGAAAGAGAAGATGCAGCATATGCAGATATTGTTCCCAGTTGAATTATTGTGTCAGAGAATTAAAGGAAGTATAACTGAAATTGTCTCCTATTACTAAGGTATTGCTGAAATCCTAATGAACCGACCGCACGCGAGAAATTCATTGGGAAAAGTATTTGTAAATGAAGTGAGTATGGGCCTGGCCTGTAAACGTGTTTGGAATCATGATCAATAACTAAATGCAATAAGCATAGTTGTGGGAAATCTGAAACAAAAACTTAATCTCTTGCTGAAGGTCAGTGGGAGACTGCACTGGGGCAAGGCAGGTTAGCCTGAAGAAAAAGAGATCGTGATATGTCTGTACTGCAGTTACTTCAGCTGTGGACTGGACAGAGATACTGGAATTATTTGAGTTAGTTAACTTGGATGCAAGTTACTGTCCTTGCTTGCATAATTACAACAAAAACATACTCATTGTCAGACCTTAGCAGATGATCTGTTCAAGGTTGACACGTTCTAGAGAAAGTCTGGCTCATGCCTGGACAAGAAGGGGAGTTTAAGCTACAGCAAAGGTTCATCTCTGAATGGAAGAAAAAAAAAGAGATGGGGAAATGTGTCATTCTGAGGCTCTCACGGAAAGATCCTGCTGGCTCCACATATATGATTTCCAGGAAATTCCTGGCACCTGCAGGGGAAAAAAAAAAAAAAACTTTTGTCATAGATTAGGAGCTTGCTATAATTTAGGCATATACATCCATATGCTTTTAAGTTTTTCTTCTCTTGTTTGTACTCCCTCCCTCATAGCTGTTCAGCGCTCTGGAACAACTCCGCTCTGATGAGAAGGTTCGCGTGGTGGTGTTCAAGAGTGAAGTGAAAGGTGTATTTTGTGCTGGTAAGTAACAAAGGCTCTGCAAACCTGTTAAAAAATTTGATGGCTCTTAAGGCTGTGTGCTAATCAGATTGTGCAGAAAAGCCATTGGAAATGCATGCTAAAAGAAAAATGGGCTGGCTTTTGTGTAGCAAATAACAAACACGTTCTCTCTTTCACCTGTCTGCCTACCGGCTTCAGCGATGAAGACGTGTGATGGAGTGAGCCGCACAGGCTGCGTGGTGCTACTATTTGTTTTCCATTTATAACCATCTTAAAGCACAGGTGCCTCTGGTATTGGAGTCCTTGGTTTCCAGTTTTATGGATTATTGCCCTTGCATACAGGGATTGGTGCTCATCTGGGAAATCTGTTGGAAGGGCCCAGAGGAGCACCCTAGCCACTGCTGCAGCCCAGATGTCCACACTCCAACTTCACTGACTTTACTTAACCAGAACACCGTATTTCAAGACTTCTGAAATGGTGTGCCCTCTGAGAGGGACAGGAGGGAACCCAGTTCAGATGTCTTTTCCCTTCTCCTGGATTCTAACCTTTTTCTCCTCTATTTAGGTGCAGATTTAAAGGAACGTGCAAAGATGGATGATGCAGAAGTTGGACACTTTGTTAAAAGGCTGAGAAATCTCATGGATGAAATAGGTAAATTATTATCTCAGTTGGGAAATATGTCCTAGACTGCCTGTACTGAGACATTTAGAAATGCTGCAGGAGGGGAAAGGCCCCAACAGTTTATCCGTTTAGGAGTTGCTTCCCAAATGGCTCCAGTTTATGCCTGAAACAAAGATCTGATTAGAATTAAATACCAACTATCCTGCTGCCACTCCAAGGACAAGATGCATTTCAGTACTGCCTTTTCTATGATGAAGAGCAGCACACACACATACATATAATAAGTACCTGATATAACAAATTATTCTAGATACAGTTCTATGTAATCCTTGGGAGACAGTGCTTGACAAATGAGCTATGTTGGTTGTCCCCCCTTCAATACATGCTGAGAAGCACTCATGATATGGCAATAACCTAAGAATGTGGATTTGGATCTCTGAATGGATTTTCTAAACAGATTTGTTGAATGCCAGGGGGTTTGTACCTACAACTTCCCCTCCCCCCTCCCCCCCCCCTTTTTTTTTTGCGAAAGGAATATGGACTTACACAATTGATTTTCTTCCCCTATTTATGAATGATTCTGTTCTCACTAGAGAAGAATACCAAAGTGAAATCTGACTAAAATAGCAGTCAGAATTGCAACAATTAAAAAACAAACAACGATGTAGAGAGAATGACCCTGTCTCACAAACCACAAAAGCAGTCGGGGTAGTTACGCACAGAACTAGCACATGTCTGAAGTCTGCTTCCAGCTCCCCGAGTGTTTAAAAAGGTATCTTATCAAGCAGCTAATCTCCAGGTACCACAGGTTCCTCAACTATGAGGTGACAACAGTGTTTACCAAGTTCAGGAGCCTTGGCTAACAAAAGCACCAGAAAAGCTAATCCTTGTAACAGTGACTAGGGATGGTGTCTTTGACTGTTTAACTGCAACAGCTGGATATTCACATTATAAATTTTCAAGGAGACAATTCATCCTGTTTTGTGTTGCAGTACTTTGTATTTACATGCTTCTTTGCATGTACGAATAAAGTTTTGCATTCTTCTTACAGTGAAGGGAGAAGTGCAAAAAGACAGTTTCTGCTGTTTAGAGACAGAAAGTTTGTGGCAGAAGAAAATGAATTCCTTGGCAATTTTGAGTTTGAGAACTACTAAAAGCTTTACAATTTAAGCATTTATATTCCAGAAGTGAGTGGAGCAGAACTTCTGGAACAAAACTGTATAATCCGTGTTGTCTTCTCTAGCTGCCCTGCCTGTACCCACAATTGCTGCAATAGATGGCTACGCATTGGGTGGTGGACTAGAACTGGCATTAGCTTGTGACCTTCGAGTAGCAGGTTTGTGTGTTGCTTAATATAGGATTCTTCTTGTAATGGGTGACTATATTTTAAAGAGAACTTACATGCATGACAGCTGGCTGTTAATGCAATCCAGTAGACTGAGAGAGGAACTTACACAGTTCAAGAAATGAGTAGGCATTTGTCCAGAAAACATGACACTTAGTTACTATTGGGAAAGCAGTTTCCTTGCTTAAAAAGTAAAGCCTATTTTTAGACAAGATTAGGATTCCTTCAGAAAACTATTTGTTGGTAGAATTAAATAGTTATTATCATGTAATACTGGATCAGCACTCTGGCTAGATCTAACCTTCCCTGCTTACATCAGTTTGGACTGGAAGACTTCCTTCTTCTGTTTCTGTTCTTCTATCCATTACATTTCATCTAGTATGGACCCAAGGTTCATTTTTCTAGATAAAATTACTACATTAGGGGTAAGCAGCCATATTACACATCCCTCATCTGACTTGAGATGGACGCTGATTAAGCACTATAGTATTCAGACTTTCTAGCTACCTGGAGAAATGGAGTTCCAGTTCAGTATTGATAGTTTGTAGTTTTATTAATCAGTTCAGAATGGAAAATTTGTAGTTATACAGATCAAAAAGTAACTAAACCCTATATTTATTTAATAGCTTCGTCAGCTAAAATGGGCCTTATTGAGACCACAAGAGGGCTTCTTCCTGGAGCAGGTAACCTCCATTAAATCTTCAGTCTCTTATTTTCTCAGCTCTATAGTAAATATTTTGTCATTAGAACACTTGAAGTGTTTTGAATGTAAATTAGAAGTAGCATCCTACAGTGACCCAAGAGATCTGTGAATCAAGAGTTCCATGCCAGGCCCTGTCTCGGACTTGCTATGAATTTAGGAAAGTCCCTTTACACTTTTTCCTGTTTATCAAAATAGTCAAAAGGATGCTGAAGCGTTTCAGATGCCTTGCAAAATGTTGACATATTCAGCTAGTTATTAAAGAAACACATCATCCCTTTATTTTTCAAACCTCCTTGTTATGTAAGGAAACAAAATACTACTTTTTGGGGGGTATTTCTCAGAAATGGAAAATGCTGGTTTTGCTGTTGTCATAAGGTGGAACACAGCGCCTGCCCAGATGTGTTGGAATAGGTCTCGCAAAGGAACTCATTTTCACTGGTAGACAGATTGATGGACAACAAGCCTTCTCAATGGGATTAGTAAATCACACAGTGCCACAAAACAATGAGGGAGATGCAGCTTACCAGAGAGCATTAACTTTGGCTAAAGAAATCCTTCCTCAGGTAAGTGTATTATTCATGTGGTCACTGTAAAGAAGGCATTTCTGCTTCCTTTAAGAGAGAGCAAACAAACAATTTAAATTCCTTTCTATATTAAAGTCTTGGTTTCTGATGTTTAAGTCTTAACTCTGTCCTTTTTTGCAAATGCAGTTTCTGTAGAAACAAGTGTTAACATTGAGCTGCTTAACCCATAAGACAGTTTTACCTCCCAGTGGTTATGCAGACCTGCAGGACACATTGAAACCTTGCACCGTGTACATCTATTAACTGTAGATAATGCTAATTTGTTTTTTGAAAATACTAACTTACTGCAAATTTCTATAGACTAAAAGGTCATTTGGAGCTAGGATAATGATGTAACAACTACACTATTATGAACTGATGTGGCTTTAATTATATTTTAATGTTTCTTGTGGTTTGGTTTTGTTGTGTTTTGTTGGTTTTTTTTTTTTAATAAAGGCTCCATTTGCTGTGAAAATGGGAAAACTGGCAATAAACAGAGGAATGGAGGTAATTATTTTTATTTTAAATACTGATGTAAATGAAGCAGACAGGCAACTCTTACAAATTACTACAGTAAAAATGTTTAGAACAGATGAGTTATAATCCTTGTTTAGACAAGGCATTTAAAACCATTTCAGGAGTTTTAAAGATTTTGTTTAAGAACAAAATTAATACAGCAGGATTTTTTTTCTACAGATGCTAACACCATAGTTCTAATACAGGAGTGAAGGTCACTCACTATGTATGAGCATTTATCGATTTGAGGGCTACGAAGTAGTTTTGAGGGCTATACTTCAGACAAATCTCATTCCTTCCCTCTTATCCCCAGGTCGATATTGCATCAGGGATGGCTATTGAGGGGATGTGTTATGCCCAGGTAGGTTACCTTCAGAATACATTCCTGAAAGGAACAACTGTAGATTTTCTAAAGCTAGGTATTCACAGCATCCTCTTGTATTTTCCTCTCTATAAGGGAACACTTAACAGCTAAATCTAAAGCTTTGAGAACATACTTGAGTGCAGTTCCAGATACCTATTTCAGAATGTTAATTGTTGTGTCATGCATAGCTGCCTCTCTCAGCCTGCATGAGACCAAAGTCCTTCCTTAAATACCCTTCTGTCCAAAGTAATTGTATATTCTTAGTTTCAACAATGTTAATTATAGGATGAGGTTTACGAATGGTTTTAGTTTTAGCAAATTAAAAAACAGGTTTCTCCTGTAGTCATTCTTTCTGACAAGTTTTGAGAGCATGTACCTTTCTCAGCTAACGGTACAATGTAACTGTTGTGCCTCTCTGTATTTTAAGATGGTAAAGTATTAAATTTATGGAAAACTGTTTTCTTATGTAGTTCTATGGTCTTTGTCTTAGATGCTTTGCTTGTGATTTACACTACAACCCAGTCTCTCTTATTTTCCTAATTGCAAAATGTGGAAGGCGGGACTTAATGTATCATTGAAAGAAAAGCAATCTTGGTCTTAGACCACTACTGCCAAATTAGTCAGTACTTAAAAACTCATCAGACTTGTCAATGAAAAACATACCATTTTCTTTTTTTAAAACGTAGAATATTCCCACAAGAGACCGTCAGGAAGGGATGGCTGCCTTCAGGGAAAAACGACCACCTCAGTTTATCGGCAAATAATGCTTCCTAGCTTCTCCTTGATTTTTTGAAGGTAAAGGAGGACTGAAGAGGACCCACTGATTTTGGGGGATTATTTTTATGACTGCATTCTGTGTACTTAGCTCCTTGCCTTGGACTACATTTCTGAATACTCCACTGGATCATTTTGCTGTAAGAATTCCCAAATAAAGATTTAACTTTTTACAGCTGATCTTTTAAAAGTGCATACATCTTGAGTCAGCTGTTATGGCTCTCAGATGTCAAGTAAGGAGTACGGAGAAGCTTTGGCTCACTGTAAGCAAATTAAAAAAAAACCAAAACCACAACAAAAAAAACCCAGAAAACATGCTACATCTAAACATCGATGGGAAAAAGTAAAAAAATCACTCTGAAGAGGAAGTCAACTTACAAAGAAAGAAAACTTTCCTAAGCTTGCTTCCCATTATCAGTAGTCTTCCAGCTAATCAGACAGAACAAGGAGTATTAACACACAGCAATGGCATTTCACCCCAGATCTGTTCTGAATAGTGCAAAAAACAGAGCTACCACTCCAGCCAAGTGAACTTAGTCTCTTTGGTATCAGCGCCTGAGAAAAGGCAAGGCCTGTATGTCCATGTATGTATGACCACCATATCAGTCTATGCCAGACATCTCTGGCACGTCACCTCTCTCTCATCACCTATTTTCCTCTGTTGCCTGACTGGAAGTTGAAGTTATTTTCTCCGTCTGCTTAGAGGTTCTCCAGCACTGAGACATGCCACACAATTTAGCTCTATGGCTTCTTACTTCCCTAGGTGGGGGCTTTCAAGCAAAAGTGAATTAGTATAGTTAGAGAAACATACTTTTAGTAAATAATTTATAGGTTATCAAAATATACTTACAAAATGTGGCTTATCACATTGGAACTGGGCGTCACTTCATGCTAAGATAGTCTCAAAGCAAACCACAATTTCACTTGTGCCAAAAGCTAACCGAACAATTCTGTGCGTGAGGTAACCTTACCAGATTATACATGTACAAGTTTCCTATGCAAAGATCTGCAAAGGTAAAGCAGAGCCAGGATCTTCAGCCTTCACAAAAAAGATGACAAATGCCACAGGTGAAATAGAAGAGTTGAAAAGTTGCTTCCAGAATTATTCTACCCTGGCAGGAACTCCTGAAGCTCCACAGGAATGTGAAGAGACCTTTCTGTAATTGGGACATGCAAGTAAAGTTAGTGGATTTATACCTTGTAGGCATTCATACTTTTCAGCTTAAAAGAATTCTGCTCACTGTTTGTTTGCCTGAAGCATGTAGGAACAAAACAAGAAAGGTACGGAAAATCATTTACAATCTCTGTGCTTGCTGGTTGCAGAACTTTATGAAGTGACGTCTTCACCATCTGGACTGATGCCAGTATCACATACATTTTGTGCTGCATGTAGTAGTAGATTCTTTTTTCCCCCCACGGTTTTAGTTAAGATGCTTCAGCAAGTTTTCCTGTTATTAGGAAAAACCAGTACTGTAAGGAGAGTTGTCGTCTTTATTTTAAAATCTTGTAGCAATTGATTTATATTCATTCTATTAACACCAATTTTGACAAGTTTTGCGTTCCATTTCATGTAATGGAAATTTCATAGCAGAAGTCCCATAGCAGACATCTCAGAAGGGTGGGGAGTAAAGGCTTGGAGTCCATTTTTCATTTTTTAAACCACCTTCATAATTCAAAGCTACAACCAATTTAATTTCTTTCTGAGTCAAGAAAACTATATATAACCAGATGCACACATGAAAACGATGCTAGCCGAATTATACCTTTGTACAAAAAGCAATTACACAACATTGATTAAATTACTGGATCAGTACCTTTTGAAGTTGCTGAAATACACAATAATTAGATTATTGAAGATTAGAGGTCATGTTTTTATTTGAAGGATGGGAGTTGGGAGAGGGAAATAGTTAAAAATAGTAAAATATGGTCATCATGAAGAAGCCATCCCTGCTAGTAAGCTACCAAATGTAAGTTTTCTTTTTAAACTCAATTACCAATATATTTACAGAATAGTCTCTGAATATCAATCAGTTGCCATGGAAATATGGAGACTAACCAGATAAAAACAATACCTGAAATTAAACTGAATTTGAATGGACATGCAATTTGCTTCCAGGCATCTGTATGCTGCGCAATATGTTTCATTCAACACATCATTTGAAACCCATAGGTAACCAAGAAAGAAATAAGTTGTTACAATTAGCATCTTTTATGTAAAATTTCACACTCCACAAAACAATGCAATGGACACAGGGCTCACATAGAACATTGGGTGATATTTTGCACTGTGATGACTTGGAAATATAATTCACTGCACAATACTGACAGAATATTTACAGAAAAGAACAGACCAATCATTAGTCTCTTATAAATAAGGTGACCAAATATCCTGGGCCTCCTACCAAAGTCATGCAATCCCCTTCATGAAGACAAGTCAGTATTTTGCTCTAATGAGCCTTCTCCTTTCCCTATCAGTATTCTAAAAACAAAAGAAAGCTATCACACACAACCAAAAGTAGTCAAACAACAACAAAACCCCCTTCTTGTTATCAAGTTTAAAATCTCAAGCTTAGTTCATCCTTTTAGTACTGTGTCTCATTTTAATCCTGTTTCTATTGCTTTACTTGAGCATGTCTCCCATTTCCCTGATGCAATGCTGATCCCCACCTTACTAAGAGTAGGGAGGACTCAGGAGAGCTGAACCTCAAAAAGGCATTGTTCTAGCAGCAAGGAAAACAGAAGAACACAGCTTGCAGGCAAAAGGAAAAGGAAGTTAAAGACCCCATTTTAGTTTAGAAGGGTTATGAGGCAATGGACATTTTGGTCACCTTAGTTACAAGTCTCATTGTAACCTGCATGCACTTTTGTTTTAATTGGTAAAAGTGTTGAATCTCACAACCACACACAGTTCTATTCAAACACCAAACTGGTAAACAGTGTTGTGAACAGCAATCATAGGGATGAAATAACTTTCTCTCCCAGAAGTCACAAAACAAGATATTCCTAGAAGTCTTTTTTCAGATGTGCATATTGATCTGTACAAGTCCCATCTCTTTGTAGCCAGTAGTAATCCTACAGGTATGACCAGCTCAAGCAGTGACCCTTTACAGGTTGCATATGAGGTTGCCATTAAAGTTGACATTCACCAAAGGTTACCGTACATGGTTCTGGGTACCACAATTATCGGCAAATCACTTTAATGGTGACCACTATATTACAAGTTACTCCAACTACACACACATCAGAAAGGATTATTACAGAGACAATACTTTACATTCCTATACCTGCAGCTTTCAGTTTGGTTTATTTTGTTGCTGTTTTCTACATGGTGGTGGTCTCCCATGACGCATAATGTGTTTTTCCAAACTATCTAGGATGGCAATAGCAATCCTTTGGACATGTGGATCAGTCTGGACGTTTTCCTTGATGTTGTATAAATGCTGTAAACCACCTTCTTCAATTAACATGCTGCAGTATCTGGCAGCTGTAGTAAGATTAAAAAAAGGAAATTAAAAAAAACATTACCTAGGGTAAGTGTAGCAGATACTGTAGACACTGATTCAAATCCACTTTTGTCTCCTAGACCAGGCAGCATTTAGGACACTCCCTAAAGTGTCTACACAAGTGCATTTGTACTTTAACAAGTGACAACAGAACAACAGAGTTGTTTGGACAGGACTCCCATTGTAATCAGGTCTGTTTCCATGTCTGTCTGAGTTGACTGGAAAGTGCCTTGTAATATTCATAGTATTCTCTGTCTCCCCTTGCCTCTTCTACAGGCATTTTAAGTGCACATACATAAATTTTAAGAAATGGGAATCAGAAGTACTGTAGGATCTATGAGTATCCAGGTAAAAGTATCACCTTTACCAAAAAAACTCAGTACGGAACAGTTATCAAAAAATGGTATCAGATATACCACATCATTTGTATACTCTTGTAGAGTGAATAGGAACTAGTTCCTTTGAAAACAGTTTACCAAATACATTGATGGTGGCCTTTAACTAGTTGTAAGTTGCTATGAATGCCTTTTGAGGGATAAAATTACACTTTTCTTCCCAGTTTCATTAGTGATTTTAAGAAGTTGAAAGCGCAGCTACATCAGCTTCAGTGTTATTAAGTGTAGGGACCAGCTATAAAAAAAGCCATATATTTAATGTAACATGCAAGCTTCAGAAGGTGTTACAAAAAGGTCAGGATGACTGTAATGCAATCCACAGAGCATTACCTCAGATGTGCCCAATTTCACCATTCATCTCGGTGAAGCAACAACAGAGTTTAAATGCTGACAGAAGCATTTCACTGGGGATCCCATTTACTGCAGTGCTACTAATATTTTAGTTAAGTTAGCTCATTGAGGTGGATATGATAGAGAGAAACAGCAAAAGGAGAAAAAAAATAAACAAGAAAAATAAATCTCACTAATCCTAGATTATTTTTCACCCTCATCTAAAAGAGGAGGTCAAAATAAAACACATCTCTTCTCAAGGACAAAAAGCTCTCTTGTTGCCAAGCGCCAAAAGCTGAAGGTTTTCCCCCCAAATAAATCTTCATGTTACAGAATTAAGCACATTTTCCCTCCAGGTAGGTTATTACATTTCCTACCAAATGTTTGGTTTCTCTGCAACTTTGTCCAGAAGCTTCTGGCACCAACTACTATCAGACCTAAACTTCAGGAATACTGTCTTGATCTCGAATCAGGAGTATGCCATCCAAGTATTTCCAGCCTCTCCATTCTACAGAGCAGTTACTCACTGTCAGTACAAACCTCTGTGGCATGTTGAAAGCTCAGAGGTTAGGGCAGAACAAAATAAACACTAAAAATAAATAGAACAAACAGGACCATACTAAGTTAGCAGGGCTGAGGCACAAAGAGAAATTACAGGGTCTTAATCAAAAAGTGTTATCCGGAGTCTGACCAGTAAAACAACTTTGTCAGAACAGTCCTACTTCAACATGGGAAAAGTCCTCACAGATCTCTGGCTAGCGTACCCTGGGAACAGTGTCTCATTACATTTACGAGCTCTATAAAGAGCAAGATAACAGTACTTTATGTGCAATTATATATTATGCCATGTTATTGTTTGGTCCTGAATAGATGTCTTTTCACTGTAGAAAAAGTAATTTATGGGACAGGGATAAACAAGCATAGATATACTGCTGTCAAGAAGATCAAAAAACTGGCACAGAAAATACTTTTAATACTTTAGAGGAAAGCTGCTTTGTATCTTGTAGAAGTTGATGACAATACACACATTCACATCATACAAACTTATGTCAAAAAAAACCCCAAACATTAAAAGCCAGGAAGGTTTGTCCACTCTACATTTAGTTATACTGAGGGGATTTATTTCCTTTCCCGACACTTGTGCGTTTCATCACATGCTTGCAAATCATTTTACAAACAAGACATTGGTGTTCTCCTTTTGCAGATGGGAAAGACAGATTAAGAAACTGACCTCTGTGTCACAGCAAGTTATTGCAAAAAGGCGATTAGAGATGAGGATTACCTAAAACTTCTGTTCTGATAGTAAGAGATAGCTACCTGCTACAGTAACTGTTCTTAATTTAAAAGAAATTTGTTGTCCATTATTAAGATTATATTTCTGAATAAAAACACCTGTGCAAGCCAAAAATGTAGTTAATCTTAACACACGTCCACATTTTGGAATTAATACTATGCATTTAACAGTAAAATTCCAGTAACTAAAAATGATATAAAGAACTTTTATTACTCTCTTCCCCTGCCCCATTTAGTCAAAGCCTAAATGTAGTTTCTCCAGAGGATTAGGAATTAATACCCTTGGTTTCTCATTTTTCCCAGTTCATACTAGTGAATAATATGCTAAGAAATAAGAATTTTAAGGGTAATATTATCTTAATACATACGATTTTTGCTGCAGACATGCTGCATGGCCCACACTGCCCATAACTGGACACCAGGTGTCATGAAACAGCCAAGTAGTGGAAAAAACGGATTGAAAGACCTATAAAAAAAGAACAGCAACTTGCTTAACTACTAGATATTATTCCTTCAGAGGTCACATGTTGTTTACTCATTCAGCTACAGGTTTAACTAGAAGAGACACTTGATATTAAAAGGCTTACCTGCTGCACCTAAAACTAGTTTAAGACAATTACTAGCAAAAATCATATATAGTGGATATGTGGTGTGCTTTTACCATAGCATTTGGATGCCTCCTGCTCCTTAAAAACACGAGTAAAAACAGTGGAAATTATAAGGATTAGATGGACAGTAATTATCTAATTGTACTTTTTGGCCTCAAGCTTCTTTATCTAGGACAAACAGTGCTAACCTAGTGCTAGCCAATATAACCTTACTGGTTAATCTTTGTGTCCAAGTCTTTTAGGCATGCAGCTGAATATCTTTAATAGAAAAGCAGCAGAACAACATTACATTTTTCTTTCACAGGAGTCCCTAATCTTCTTTGGTCACAAAGGGAAAATTAATACGCTGCGTATTTTAAGCCGATAGGTGTTTTTCCACTGGACAAAACCATGCCTGGCTAGCAGCTAACTCTGCTTTGGGAACAAGTTTTAAATCTAGTTCAGTTTATTCTCCAAACTCTAAATCAAGACAATAGTTACCTGTAAGCTACCATCTCACATTCTGGGGTTGGCCAATTCAAGATGGCAGAATGCTGCAAAATACAGAACCAAGAACACTCATTGTTAAATACAAACATTGAAAAAAATATAAAAGAGTATGATAAAATTCACCATCATTTCTGTACCAGCTGTTCAAGGAGAGATGTCCTCTGGCTGCGACTTAACGTCCAGGCCTGCTCTCCTCGAGATATCAAATGAGCAATAATCCCTGCTGCAAAGTAGCTAACTTCCACCTCCACACTGTGCAATAATTTACTGATGTGGTCTATAAAGTCCTTCCACATTAACTCAGAATGGAGTTCTTTAACTTCAGCTATGTTATTCTGGAGGGGGAAAAAAAAAGAAAAGGGAAAATATCAACCGAAAGAATAAGATATGAGGGAGATAAACACATAAACTTGAACTACATTGTGTAAGTAACCACATATAAACACCAGGATGAGATCTTCATACATCCAAGTGACCACCAGATGCCAAAATACTACTTTTGCTTTTGAAAACTCTTCCAGTCTTATGCAGGAATTTGCCTCAAAACAAAGAGGTTTTCTCATAAGTAATTTTAGGCCATTAGCATGTAGCTCACACGAAATTAAAGCCTAGTTTTAACATTCTCAAACACAATTTCAGTAAACTTCAGCAGTGCACAATTCTGAATTCCATTGATTTTCAACCTACTTTTTGCATTTGGACTCATCTGAAGCCTCACTCACTGTCCTTTCTTAAAAGCTCTTTTTGTTTACTGTAACCATCAATTTCAATATAACTAATGCTTTTGGAGAATTGGTAAAACAGTCCAAAAAAATGTCAGTTGCAAATAATGCATACTACAAAGATTAAAGAACAACATAAAAATATTAGGCAAGTTTTCAGATTAACATGGGGTAAAAAAAAAAAAATTAAAAATTAAATTTTAAAAGTACATATTTCAGACTTTTTTGTTTCTTTTTCATCTCACCAGAAGTCCAAGAACTTTCTGTTGGATGGATGATTCAGATGGAAAAGACTGTGGAAAAAAGAAACAAACTATAGGTAACCACTTATGCTTATTACTGAAACAATGTTAATTATAAACCTATGTTGATAATCCACCACCAAAACTGTACTCCTCACCTCTAAGACTCTCATGAAAAGTTCTAGCCCTTGATTTTCAATGAAGTGCCGACATGTTGTTGGAGATTCATCAGTGAGGTTCCAAAGTGCACTCAATGTGAACTTGAGGGTAGTATCTACAAGGTTCTGATTTGTTTTCTGTTTAACTATTTGTAGAAGTTGCTGGGAAAAAAACAATTAAAAAATCCCAGTTATGATTGCATATCAAAAAAACGTATTAGCTCCTCTGCTGCTTTCTGCACCAACTGGGGTAATGCATGGCTATCATTTATATGCAGAGTAAAGATCTACATGTTTAGGGTCAAACTATACAAAATAAAACAGCTATTAAACTTTTTACCTCCCCTTTGAACATGGTTGCCTGCTAGAGGAATTCCTTTGTTTTCACCATAATTACACATGCAGTAGTACTACTACAGGTGGCACAAAGCCATCCACAGAGCTCTGGACCCCACATGAACATTGACAGCACTAACCATTTACTTCAAATACTCTCTTTTTAAGCATCTTTCATCTAAAACAATGGATTTCAAATCAAGAGATGTCTTTCTATGATACTTTGTATTAATTGTGTCAAGTTTTTCCACTTCGGCTTCTTTTCATCTATGCTAATATGTCTCACTGCCACTGTCTCTGATATTATCTCTAATAAATTCTCTAGGCTTTTCTCTTCTAAAGAGCTTTCAAATGAATACAGGGTAATGTCTTTGTAGAATTCTATCTCCTTATGTTTATTTTGTATCTTTAGAATACTGTTAACATGATTAGCTGGAGAGGATGGTATTTTTGACTGCCAGGGAAGTATCTGACTTACCCTAACAATGAAGAGTTCTGCTCCAAGTTGAGCTGTTTGCTCTGTTGAAAGCTGTAAACAAACAAAACTGTATCAACAATTTTTTAGACTTCAGAAATATTATCCTATCATCTCAAAGGTAAATTTCATACCTTTGCAGCAAGAATGGAAATTATGGCTACAGCCATCCTTTGCATGTTTTGATCTTCATGATTACACAGCCACTGCATAACAAGTTTGGCTGCTTCAAACCTGGAAGTTAAAAATAAATTTAATTTTCAGAAGTCTCATAAATCTTAGTAAAAGAAAGATGTACACAGACAACACATCAGATAGAAACGCATGCAAGACAAAAGTAACTGGAAGAAGTATGCCTCATACCAAAAAAAAGTAGAAATGCACAGTGAAATTACAGGTATTGCATGAGCCTCAGTCAGCTTTGAGTTGTTTGCTTAGGGTCTCTTACTTCTAATTATATATCTAAGTGCACAGGAATTGCTTCCAAAGAAGGAAGAAAAATTTGGCACAATCTTCTGAAACATCAGACCAACGCAATCCAAAGCATTTGGGCAAAACATTTAAGTAAAAAAATCTCTGCAAAAAGCAATCCCATAGTTTCTGAGAGAAATCCTGACTTCTGTTACGTGTAATTAGCGATAACCCATCCAGGTGAAGTAAAAAATACCTGTATACCAAAGGATTTTTTTCAGACCTACATTCAATTGTGAATTACAGGCCCAAAATAATTATAGGGCAGACAAATTCAGCACACTTGATTGATTTAAACTGAGCAAAACTGAGACCAGAAACAAACCTTCTGAAGGAACAGACAACAAAGTATTCTGCAATGCTACAACTCATTTTAACTGACTTATAAAACTTGCCTGTTAAATGGAACATCCTGAAGGATTCTGTCACTGCATAGTGAAAGAAGACAATTCTTTTGCAGCTATGAGAATGAAAAAGAATTACTTCATCAGAGACATACATGTTTCAAAATACTTTCTTACTATGAATTATTAAACATATTTCCATGAGGTCATGAGATGTGGAGAAACCTTTTGTAAGACCCACAAGACAGGGAATCCTACAGAAAATAAAGGAATTTTGTCTTTTACCTGTTGATGATTTGGGAAGTGTTCCATGGCCTTCAGGAGCAAGTGAGTGACATCAGCCAGAAGTCGCACAGGCATGCCTGCTGCTAAATCTTGCTTGGTTAGGTTAAAGACACACGCGCTTGCTGCTAACTGCACGGGCAAGTTCAGGGGGTGATTTCTCATTCCAATAACCACAAGCTGCAATGCAAGAGTTTTGCCCACATTAGTTACTTAAACATTTGCGCACATACCCCAAGAGCAATCCACTGTTGCTTGAGGCCACAACAATGACTCACAGCACCCAATTTCTGCCTCCCTTCTACTTAAGTGAAAAATCCATCTGGTGTGATTTTAATTCTCAGGAGGAACATTTTCTTCTGCTCAGTGATTCAAAGCTGACAACTTCCATTTTTCCAAGTCCTTTTGCACTGGTTGCAGCAGCCTCTCAAAGGAGAAGCTGTATGGAATCCAAGAGATTCTTAGAAAGATCCAGGGTTTGCTTTACAGACTGGGATAAAAATCACCACACTCTTTCAGAGATGAATGAGGTAGGACAGAGTTTCTGCAGTTTAATGGTAATGATGTAGTGGCTTCTTGTTTGGTGACTAGCCATTTCAGATCACATCCTAAGCTACTAGGTCAGGATATATTTTTCACAGCTTCTTCCTGAATTATGTTTTTGGCTACGCATGTTGATTGTGATCTCACCTAAGAAAATATTTTTCTTGTTGCCTATTGATTGCCAAAGTCTTTTTGATGTTGAAGCCAACAAAATCAAGATCACTTGTTCAGCATCAAAGAGGACAGGAAAAACAAAAAACATCTGTGCTACTGATGCCTCTTTTTATGATCACAGTAAAAATTAAACCATGTCTGCCATTCTAGACATGGAAAGCCAACGCCTGGAATGGATTTCTAAGGAAGTTTCTAGGATTCTCGAAGTTAGAGCCCAATATAGAACACTAATGATATTTATTCACTTGCTGTCATACTGGAAGGTGACAGTGGAGAGAAATATCACTGAATGCCTTCGTTATTACTACTGTTTGATAAGCATCAGCAGAAAGCACCGTTGTACCTGGGGAATAAGACTAGACAGACTTTTGATTTGACCCAGTACAGATATGTTCTAATGGCAGAATTTGACATCTGAAGAAAGCTTCATACCATATTCAAAATTACATGAAAGAATTAATGTAGATGCTACTAAATTTAGATAGATACTAAACATTAGTCCAGATCAATTTTACCTAATGTAAAATGCTACAGGGCATCTTCTACATCACTATTGTTTAAAGAGTTGTTAATTCTTATCCAACATTATGATTTTGATCTTAAAAACCACAACCAAAAAATGTACAAGCTTAGAAAATAATTTATACCAGGGTTTTGGGGATGGGCTCAGTTTAAGGAACAATGCATGACGATCATCAAAACTATATTATTTTACCTTTAAAATTTCAGGCTTTGTTTTTTCCATTACATGTGTCAGGCTGAATAAATGAAAAAGTGCTTCCCTCACAAAGAAGGCCCGTTCACTGTAACGCTTCAGTGCTTCAGAAATCTGAGTTTCATTTGCTTCTCCTGACACCTATGCACAGAGAAATAATCTTTAGTTCAAGATGTCATCATTTTACTTTAAAAATTTTGTTCTTAAAAAGTGCAAAGCTGCAGTTTCAAAGGTGGTGACATTTTCAGCCAAATCCTTCAGTAAGCAAATGGCTACTTTATCTGGCCATATTAATCCAGAATTACACAATCTTCAAACATTCCTCACAAAAAAGAATCCACATTATAAGCCAAAATTAGGTTTCAGCCATATCTTTAAGCAGAACTGTATGAAACCACTAAGTAAAAGTAGCACGTCATAACTAACAAAAGCTGCTTATGATGCACCAAATGCCTAAAAGTACTATTTGTAAATGAATGCTCTGGCAAATGCAGCTGATAAACTGATGAAGATGGTATTTTGGCTGTAATTTTTTGGCTCTGGGTTCTAGCTCTGGCAATAAAAAAAGACTTCCATTCTTTGTCTACATCAAGTTTCATATAAGCTGTATCTGTAGCAATAGCTTTCCAGCACCTTATTAAAGAACTAACTCATGCTCTCTGCAAAAGAAGTAATTCTTAAAACCAGACTTTAAACACATGTGAAAACTAAACAATGAGCTAACTTAGGCGAAGACTGCATTAGAAGCTACGAGCTGTTGACTAATACGAGCTTAAGTTCAGAATATTAAATCAGCAACTACCTGCAACTTTTTCCACTTTCCAATCTGCTATATTTTCTATCTCACTATATTTTATCTACTTTACAACTGTTAGTTGTGTAACTGTAGATGGTCTGTTCCTCAGTCTTACTATTTAATGAATCGTTGCTGCAATCATTGTTTTCTAAAATTCTTAGGGAAGCATGCAGAACTTGTTCTACTTAATGTGTCACATATGTTCATATATTGAAGTGTCACATTCTGTGCATCCTGTATTGTACAGAGCCAAATTTTTCGAAACTTGCTAGATCAGGAATATATTACAGCCTTGAGATAACTGATACCGTCTTGGATTTTGTTTTATATTCTCTATTGATTAGAACAGGGCAATTATATTTACTGACATGTTTTGCAGCCAATTATACGCTATATGAAGAACTTCCACTTGGCTTTATGTTCTCAACTATAATGTCTGCCTAGTGTTAAATCTTTCAAGAATTTTCTATAATCAAATTTCACAGAACTGCTGTAAAGACAGTAATATTTTACTTCTGCTGTCTCCATGAGTGCTGTCCTGTTTATTCTTTAGCAGTATCTAGACTAAGCAGCTGAATATTTCAGTATAGACACTAAAGAATTTGGGTTACACCAAAAAAAAAAAGGGGGGGGGGGAATCGCTGCCTACAGTCTCTTCTTGACAACAATGCCTTAAAAAAAAAAAAAAAAGAAAGATAGAAATGCAAACTGCTTTTTGCTAACTACACTGCTACAAGTCCATCATGATTCTCACATTACTAGAACCTTCTTCCCTCCTGCCTTTTCACAGCACAGTCACTTGTATGAAGCAAGTATTCTAAAGAGCAAGGATTATATTGAATTATTTTACACCAAACATGAGGTATAATTTCCTGATGCCGTACATCATCACACCAAAAAGGAACTTGCTTTCTCCAACAATGCATTTCAACATTCATACACATCATTATCAGCTGACGTGGCCATCAACAACTGTCAAAAGTTCCAGGGAAAAAAAAAATTATAAAATTGTGTAGCTGTGTTACCTCAATTGCTTGTAGCAACAGCATTCTGAATTTTAAAATTGAAGTGCAAAACTCAACTTGCACAGGAGACAGACTAAACTATGGACACATTATGCAAACTCTTCCTCATTCCCTCTGCAGTTTCCATTATCCTCATGGCAAGAAGATTATAAGACTCAGAGTCAAAGATGATATACCACTGACAGTGACAAGTCTAAAACATCTCTTTTTCTTCTTTAATTCTGACCCCTTCATAGCAGGGACAGGATAGGCTCATTCTCCAGTAAGTGCATGCATATTCTACAGAACAGGGCACAACATCTTGTTGCCTGGCACTAAAAGATAAATAAATGCACTTCAGCAAACATCATCTCATCCCAAGTGGCTAAGTAATTTAGGATTTGTTCAAGAAGAGGAAGTTTCTCATCCTAAGTAATTGCTTCTTACATGTTCATCACCAAAAGACCTTTCAAGGTGGGTAGAAATATTGTAACAGGAAATAGAAGTGGTGATGGAGTACAACAGCAGCTCAGTTACTAAGTTTTATTTTATCTTCTGTGTTAAATCATGAACTGCTCAAAGGTTATGCAAATTGTACCTCCACCTCTTACACATTGCTGCCTTATGCTAGATACTGTGCTGGAATCCAGAGAATATTATTCCAGTAAATCACTTCAGACTAGACAAAGTTCAGCTCTCTTAGATCTGATCTGTTAAATCAGGATCTAAGGCTCACTGAAAAGGCACAGAAAACAGATGCTTCTTACAATAGTATTATGTAAATTTAGCAGCTTCTGTGCCAGAATTAAGTAGGAATTTGACATAAAGTCAGTAATTACAATTAACAGTTAAAAAAATGAACCTACAGCCTCCTTCTGAAACACCCACATACATCTGTTACAAATGATTAGTTCTATTTTTCCTGCACATTGTAATTTTTCAGTAAAATTAATTCCCCCACTTAACCTTTAGGTTTCCTTCTCCTGTTAGGAATTCTGAGTAGCCGGCGTCAGTAGCTAGCAGTCCTACAAACTGCATTGTGGGCCGTTGCTGAATAAACGCTTCTACAGCTTTATCCGTAACATGTTTTCTTCCAGAAATGTCCAAAGACACAAGGTTAGGCAAGATATCCTTCTGTTCCAGTAAACGAAGCGCTATGTCTGATGTGAACTGTTTGTCATCTGAAATATCAAGGTGATTCAGGTATTTTAGTTCTCTAATAACATCCAGAATCTGGGTTGTGGTCATTTTCAAGCATTTCAGGTGGTGCATGGTCAAAGACTTGAGTCGGTCTTTGCAGGTGAGGAGTGCTGTTATGTCAGTGACAGAGGTGTTCGATATATCCAGACTTTCTAATCTAGGAAGTGAAGCAACATCTGCCAAGTCCTCATTGTAGAACAGAACATTGGTAATACTCAATGCACGAAGCCCAGACAACTGACTGAAGCACCTCTCGTATGGGTCTTCCAGAGAAAGAGTTAGTGAGTTCAGCACAAGACATTGTAGATTTTGTTGGATCCATTTATTGCTGCCAAGTCCACTTATAATGTCTGTGATTGTTATATCTGCATTCACCCCAGTAGCATCAAGTTCTACCAGCTTGTGATGGCAGAATGCTTTCCGGAAAGCCACAGCAGAGATTTTTGCTTTCCGGATACAAGCTCGTTTCAAACGCATCTGGTTGCCTCGGAAGATGCCCACAGTTCCATCATTCAGAAGCCCTGTTGGAAAACAGCATTAGTGTTTGGATCCAGTGTTATAGAACATTACTTTTAAGAACCCGAAGGGTACAAAGTGTTAAAAAAGAAAATTAATTGCAAAGTAGTTTGTCTTAGATCATTATGCCACTGATCCCAAAATTTTATATTTGAGATTCCACTTTTAAGATTACAATTTCACTTTTGGAAAATTCCAGGTTTAAGAATAGGAGAGAGAAATTAAGAGGTAGTATACACATTTTACCTGTTTGGTTCAGAACATGGAACATGCAATAAATAAAATGTGGCTATGCTTCAAAAACATTCAGACTGCTGCCTGCATTTTCTGGATTTTCTCACTGAACTGGTTAGAAATGTGCTAAAAACAGAATTTCAAAATTTCTGAAAGTTATTCTTCCCTGATCACAGTTCTCAACCTCAAGATAGTACCAGCAATCAATGACCAGTTCTCATCTTGCTTTAACTCAGTTGAACAATTTAGCATTTGACTGAATTAGTAAGTATGATCAATACACTAAACGACGCTTGTTAAGTTCTTCTATATATCCCTCATGAAGAAGGTAGGAGTGTTGCTCAGAAACAAGCCTAACGTGAGAAAGAAACCTAAAAGGCGATTCAAAGAGGAGAAAGAGGAGGACAAGGAAAGGGTGGGAAGAAGAGAAAGACAGCTACGAAAAAAGGAAATGCAACAATCTTGTTTGAGATTATTATCTTATTGCTCTGTAGCAAGATGACTGCATAAGTAGTCTTTTCTTGCAGCATACTGGCAACATCCTAATTGAAATAATACATTCAGTTCCCTGCACAGGATTATCCAAAATGCATTGAAAACACCAAGATTTCTTATTTGTATCTTACCAACAGAAGGATTACTGCTATATAGAAAGCCAAGCATGCATACAAAAGGAGTAGGAAGAACATGTCCTTCTAGTTTCACTCTAGAAGGTTATAAATGTCAACACTCCTGTTTTTTATCTCCTATCTTCAATTATACTGAACAGAAAAGAAACTGAAAATAGAATATATTTGAATAAAAACATCATTGCCACTTCAGTTTGGATTTAAGTCAAAAGCTAGTAATTGCCTCTGTGATAAAGTCAAATCAATATTAAGATTTGCAGACCTTTCTAAAGAGCAAATGGTTTAGGCATTTCTGACCAAGTAGTTGGGGCATTGCTCTTTCGCAGAGATAGCCAAAATATGGGGTGAAACATTTGGTACCCAGCAGAAAAATTAAATGTGATAAATCATTATAATTTTGTTAAAGTATTGCTAAATTAATTGAAGATCGAGTTAGGCTCTCTCACTGGCCTACCTTAGCCACACCCTGTTTATATTTTTTATCACTTTTTTTCATCCTGCACTCTGACACAGTGTTTGTGATGTGTCGGTGTCTGGAACTGCCTTCATCACTACTGGCACAGATAATAAGTTTCTGCTAATTCAGTTTCCTTGAATCTGATTTCTTGGGACTATTCTAAATAATTAACCTTCAGAAAGTAATGTATGTTGAAAATGAAAAGTTTTTTTGAGTTTGTGGGTTTTTTAGGACCAATACTTCTGTTATATCTGACTAGAACAACTTGAGAAAACTAGAACACCCATATTTGCACAATAAGAGCCAAATCTGCACCTATAGGATAGGGCACTTGGTCTGTTTACAATAATTTTTCTAATGTCACATTTCATCTCTTAATAAGAGTCTCCAGGATCTCCAGGAATTGGTCTCCTGCCTCTTCTCTAGGATCTATACACTCACTCTTTTCATGCTAAGAAGCTGTTACTGACACATTTTCCTTTGTCATGCTTAAAGGAAGCAAACGAGGGCAGCCCTGTCCTCGAAGATATGCTGACAGAGAATATGATAGGCCAGTACCTAAAATGTAAGAACACCACAAGATGGTTTTTACAGATGTTTATACTACTCTTGAAACTGACTGCTTTCGAGCAAATAATTACACTTCAACAAAAGTGCTAAAAGAGATGAGAAACTATTTTAATGAAAATCACAAGATTATTTCCTGGTTTAATCACAAGAACATACAATAAAGAAAATTCAGTTAATTGCTCTGCAAGAGATACTGGAATATTTGAGTGCTGCTAGAAGTAGTAGAATCAAATAATTCTTTTTTTTTTTTTTAAGTGATTGAAAGAAGATCTATTAAAGAACGTTCACTTAAAGGAACATTAAATTAAAATCATAAACCCAAGACAAATGACCTTCTATTTAGAACTATATAGCAATGCAACATTCAGCTGAAGCTGTGGAAAAGCAAAAATAACAGAAATTCTCTATTAAGAGATTAAGGAATACAGCTTTAACAGCTGCAACAGCAGATTCTACTAGAAAATACCAGAACTGCAGTGTGACATTCCAGTAAAATATTTTTACTGATGACCCACGAATAATTGTTTTTACCATGAAATGCCATTGTCTGCAGCAATCGATCAGCCACTTCTTGAGGAAACATTCCTGGCTCCTGCAAGCATAGCGTTCCATCTTGCCTTTCTGTGCAAAATTTCTCTAGGTTGGCAGTCAGGAAATTCAAACAGATATCAAGTAAAGAATAAGGAGAAGCTTCCTCCTGTCATATGCAAAACACAATGAAACAAAGGAGATTTAGTGAAATCTTTCTCTGTCTATGAATCTTCCATTACTCTATAATGTTGTTTTTAGGCAAACCATTCATTTTTGTTAATCTGATTCTCATTGGAACAGGCAAATATTACAAAAGGAAACACTTCCCTTAGAGCTACGCAAGTCAGGTCACACAATAAACAACTGGCCAAACCGATGAGCAGCCTCCTCCCCCAGTCACCCCCAGAACCACATCCAGTCTGGTCTGTTGTGCTTGAGCCCTGCTTGCATTCAGAGGAAGAAAAGTAATTGCTGATAAGATCATTTGAATTTATGAAGTCTACTGGGAATTAATCAATCAATCAAGACAGACTGAAAGAAGATTTTAAATCAAATTTTACTTCTTGATTTAAACGATTTCTTTTAATCTTTCATTTAAGTCAACCCATATTAGAAGCCTACTACCAAGCTACACTAGAAATGCAGATAAATTTCATATATTGTTAGGAGCAAGTTTTGACACTGAAAAGGGCACTTAGAGCTCCAAATCAAAAAAAAAGGAAACTCAGAAAGAACTATTTAATTCCAAATTTTGTGCCACAATAAAGTAACAACTATTACAGTATTCCCTCCAATTATAGATACCAATTTCCTCCTTTTTACGCTAAGCACCTGGAAATCATCTATAGTAGAACCCTGCGTACAAAGGACAAGGCAGAATATAAACTTGAACTTTTCCTTCAGAGTTTGAGATTGTACATTGATATACAAAAATCTCAAAGGTTTTTTTATTCCATGTCTAATAATAGCCTACTGTTTTCAGCCACACAGATTAATCAACATAAAGAATGACTCGCAGCACTGTGAATCATCCCCAGCACCATACAAAAGAAGGCCGAGTGACTGGTACATACTCCCCCAGACAATTTTGAAAATAACAGCATCAACTGTTGCCAGATCTCATCTGTAAGAAAAATTGTGGCTTGCCTTTTATACTGAAAGTTCTGGATAATTTCACCTTTCTTTCCTAGCTCATTTAACTTCTCTTCTGTTGCCTCATTTGCCTAATATGTTCATCACAGAAGTACAGAAATATATAAAAGGTTATATAGAAGAAATACAAAGAAAATGACAGAAATAAATCTTCTAAAATAAGTTGCATATATTTGAAGACTGGGAGGTACCACATTAGGGCAAAGATGGAATGGAGCTTATCTTTAATGAATCATGTATTGACAACAATGAGAGACTGGAGTTTAATAGCTCCTGAAGACTTAAGTACAGGTTTGGGAATAGAAACTCCAAATTATTCAAATACAAGCTCTTTCTGCAGTTTTTGACATGCAACTTCCAACTCCTTTGACTCAATCTTTCTCAGTGTTTAATTTTTATGATTTTTTTTTTAAAGATTGAATATTACATTTTATTACTGAAGAAACAGGAGTCACTTTGTGATATGACTTGCTCACATTACCAGAAAACAGCAATTTTGGCTGCTTCCAGTCTTAAGATGATATGAAAAGGAAGGACAGAATTTGGAACTGTGAACGTCTTTTGTTTCTTCATAATGTGCAACAATGCCTGAAGTACTTCTAAAGAGAAAACACAACCAATTATTTTAAAATAGTACATTTTTTAAAGGAAAGGGGAGAATTTTCTTTTTAACCTGAAATTAATACACACACCCAGGACTTATATGACAGCTGCTGATTAAAAAAACCCACCACCAGAATCATTACTCAAAGGCATATGAAAATCATTCCGACTAAAGCAAAGATGTCCTCATCTCCCATTAGATCTTGGGTTTCTAATTTGATGCTTAAATATGACAAAACCAGAATACTGGCTCTCTTCATTCTTTCTGGCACTCTTCTATAACTTCTGCCAAAAAAGCTAAAACACTTTTATAGATCAGTGAGCAAACTCCAATGAGAATTTTTAGCCTTGCAGATAGGCCACTAGCATATGACTCAGAAAACTATTTTTTCAACCAGTACCTCTAACTGGCCAATCTGTAATTTGGAAATATTGTTTTAATTTTCATATAAAGTAATCACTTTAGAAGTCCATACAGGACATCTCCATACAATAAAGGAACAAAATCCACAAACATGGCTCAATTACACTTGCAAACAACACAGTATCATTTTTTTTAACTCCACTTATACCAGTTATAGGAGACATTTATAATGTTTCTTCAATTTGTTGCCAAAAGGCTGAAGAAACATACCTAACGAAGGCTCCTGAGGTAACCTGGGCAGATAGGCGAAACATATTTATCTGTATCTAATAAAGTCCCTTGACAAACATCATAAAAACAATTTCCTAGACTGTCTGCTACTGAAATAGAACAGCTTGAATGCAATCTGTAAACCTTTTATGTGAGCTAGCTGCATTCCGTTCTTCAACTTCTCTTTACTTAAAGATAATATTGCCCAGTTAAAGACCTCATAGTAAAAGTGTTCTGTAGTATTTAAGCTCTTACAGAAGGTTAGGATTTAAGTGGTTCCCTTCTTTAGCTATGCTTTTGAATGTCAACTTGAAAACAAACCTGGCATTTGTTTTCAGCTCATTTCACTTTCTGGTTCTGATACTCTAAGGAGATGCTGTAAATGTCTGTCAACCACAGCGCAGGATTTATTATTATTATTATTATTAAAGATCATCCAGCAATATTTGAGTTGAACTTTTATTATGTATATTTGACTTTTTCATAGCCATCTTAATTATCTGATACTTCCATGTAACCTCACAGTTTATTTCATTCTATCAAATTAATTCAGTGATCAGAAAATAAATACAAAAATAAATTCCCCAAAACACAGAATTATGCATTATATAATGCAAGTCTGGGCGTCTTCATTAGCTCAAACACATATTATAAGAGTAATGTGACACATCTAAAACCAACTAGCTAATGGAATAGTACAAAGAGTAGAATAATTGCATTTATATGAGCTTTTTAAGGCTTATTTAAATTAATTCTTTAAAAAGATAACTTTATAATTGCTTAATATAAGCAAGGTAAACAAACAAAAAAAAGTGCCGGGGGGGGCGGGAGGGGGGGTAAACTGCATGGCTACTGGCATCTAACAGTAATCCAATACACTAGTGGACTGAAATGCAATACCTGCGTCAACATGATGTTACCCAGTTCAGCTTATAGCTCACACACTAGTCCAGTTGGAAAGGTTCTCAAAGAACACTATACTCCACATTTTCTTTTAAAAACTCTTTGGATCAACTCTAAATATTGCTAGAATATATTCAACCTATATTGCAAAATGCAGTTAAAAAGAAAAAAGAGTTTAAGGGGACATACTAAAATACCTGGAATAAGTTAGAGAATCCTAAACCCAACATTATGCCTAGATTAACTGGCTGAGTGTGAGTATCAAAACAAAGTCCTGTTCCTTTGGGGAAGCATCACCGTGCAACCACCTGCTTCTACAATAGTAACTAAAAAAGAGACAGGTTTAACTGATGTTTTCCATTGGTAATTACAATCTAACTTTGCGCAAGAAGTAAATTCCACTGCTGTGTGGGCCGCCTTCACTACAGGTATTGCGATCGTACCAACTCCAGCTGGAAAAATTCGCTTCCTTCTGGCTTTGTGTCTCAGTCTCATTAAAAAACAAAAGCTTTTTTTCCATAGGTAGTTTTTTGGGGGTCCCCCCCTCAATAAATCAGTATAAAACACGGAAAGACAAATACCAATTTCAGCTCTAACAGAACCACTTCTATGATGTATTCCCCAATTTTTATAGCCGATTGCAGACTCAGTATGACAAAACCCAAATGTGTAAGGTCTCTGTATGCCTGGCCCATCTGCTTTTTTCTCTCTGAAGCCTGAAAGGAGATGGGGTACAGGATAAGGAACTTCTCAAATTGTGGCAGTTATTTCTCTCAAAAAGTTGGCAGGAAAATAAGACATAATTTAGAGCCTTAGTCTTTGGTGCTGGACATACCATGTTTCTAACTGTTTTCCACCTCTCCACAGCACTTAAAATGAACACTCTTAAAACGATCAAGAAAGATCAACTCAAGTAATGGTCATCAAAACTCTTCTGAGCGCTAATAAAGGAAAGGCAGTGAAAAATAAACAGTTCCATGATTTACATTATGAAGAAAGCTTTATGATTATCTACTTAAATTAAATGGAATGAAACAGATGTAGGCAATTTATTAACCAGACTCAAGGAAGGATTATGCGCAAAACTCAGATTTAATATTAACTATTCTGGCACAGCAAGTGGGAACATACTGACTAAAGTTGCTAGCGATACAAAGTTGGCAGAGCTCAGGAGAGGTCTAAAATTAAATAGTGCCATATTAAAGCTACATAGTAAGGCCATGTATTTCAAGATTAATAGCAAGAACTTTAGATATGAGTTCATCAATTAGGAATGACTGGAGAGAAGAACCTGAATGATTTGCTTAACCACAAGAAAACAATGTGAGGCAGCCAAAGAAGGTATCAGGAGAAGCATAAAGCAAAAATAAGGAAGTATTGTGTCATCTTCAAGATACTTGGAGATCTCACGGGGCTATTTATGTTAAGAGATACCTGCAACATTTCAGTTTGAACGTAACAGCTACTAGAATGCTCTGGGGAAAAAAAAGCATGTTGGGAGTAGGAAACAAAACCAGCTTTTCTTACACTAGCAGATCAAAAGGTGAGAGATATGAAAGCTGCCTATAGATACAGCACAGTGAATAAAAACTACAGAAGGAAAAAAAGCTATTAAGGTGAAGCACTGTGCCAGCACAGCAACAAAGGTGCATTAAAATGGCATAAAATAGATTTTTTGCCATAAATTTAAATGTCAGTACATAGCTCCAAAACATCAAACAATGAAGTTCTACCCTAGTCCACTGAACAGAAGAGCAGGTGCAAAAGACACCTACTTTTAAAATAAAGATAAAAAACTTTATTAGGGTATTAAATGAAATTAGGCTTTTAATAACAAGGGATGAGACTAGACAACGCAGGAAGCTCCTGCTAGTCCTTTAAAAGCAAATATGCACACTCATTTCTCAAACACAGGAGCGATCAAAACAGCACCCATATGTTCTGAGGCCTGTCCTCAACAGAGAAAGGCTGTTTCTCCACCGCCAGTTTTGGTCAGCTCCGTGCTGTTAAGAGCACCCTGCTACACATTACACAGATCAGCAAGGCCCACGTACCGCGCATACCACAAAACCCGTGCTTTCGGTGGCACGGCTTTTTCCAGACAGCCCCTGGACAAAGCAAGCCCCAGTGGGAAAAGTGCTGTTTGAGGGTTGGACTGCACCCAGGCTGGGGAGGGGGGAGGCAGGAGCTGGACGAGGGCAGAGACGGCTGCCCCGTCCTTCACGCCGGCCGGCCGAGGAGCTCTGCCCGCCGGGCTGCCCCTCGCACCTGCGTGGCGGGAAGCCGGCCGCAGCCGCTGCTCCTCGGCCCCACAAGGTGCTGTGAGAGGAGCTGCTCAGCGGCAGCGAGGCCGGGCCGGCCATCCCCCTCGCGGCACTGCGGCGATGCCGGGGCGCACCGGGCCGGGCTGCCGCTGCCCCTTCGCATCGCGCCGGGCTTGAACCGTCCCCTCCGCCGGCTCTCGGTCGCCCTTTTATATAATCGGTAGGACGGCGGCCGCAGAAGTTACACAACACCGAGGGGAACGAGGGCTGCCGGCCCGGCTCGGGGGTACGTGCGGGGTGCCGGCGGGGAAGGAGCGGCCGCGGACCCCCCTCCTCCGCCGCCGGCTCCCCCCCCCCCCAAGCCGCCCTTCCGCC